CCCCAAAACCCCAAAACCCCAAAACCCCAATATTTCAAACAGATATTGAAATAACATTTAATTATGAAACTCCAAAGTTCTCAAGGATCATCACAAGGTCTTCAAATAGGATCTTATGACCTATTTCAGACTTGACTAGAACCTTTAGGAGTCATTCTATCTCTATCTCTTCAAGATGTGCAATACCCAAGGTCTGGAAGCTTTGAATAAAATGTTCGGGTGATAATGTTTGTACCACTTTTCCGTTATATTCTCATTCTTCAAGTTTATCAGAGTATAAACTATCTAGTGTAAACTTTTCTTTCATTTTTCAGAACGTCTTCTCAAATACATGCTCAGCGATGTCTAAGATTTGTTGTTCTGTTAATGAATCAGTATCTAAGATTAATTGCTGATTTATATCATCTTCTGATTTCATCATCCGATCAGTAAGGTCATTGACTGAGTCTCTGGAAATTACTTCTCCGTTTGCGTTACTGACACTGTCATCGTCTTCTAGTTTGAGCTCTCTACTATTAAAGTCTATTGAATCTATATATTTCTGGGTGTAGAAGATCTATATAATTCACACACTTGATATACTTCTTCTCTTTCTTTTCTGTTGAGTCTATTTTCTTCTTACTCATGAGATTCTCTTCCTTGCTATCCTCTTTAATAGAAGATAACTCTCTTGTGTTATCTTGTACAACAGGGGATTCATATTCGTCAAATAACTTTGGATAGTCAAGCATATCAACACTGAGATGTTTATCAAACATTAATAGGATTGAAAACTCAAAGAGGTCTACATTTAATTACTTTTACTCACCTTGGTCTAAAGTAATATCAAGATTTCTAAGAATTTCTTCATATTGCTTGACTGAGACAAATCCTTGAGACTTAGTGTCCTCAATATCAAATGATTCTTTAAGGGCCATTTTTCAGCTGGAGAACTCTTGCTCAACTCTTTCTTTCAGATAATCATCTAACTTAAAATACACCTCCTCTGAAGATAGAAGCTGTTCTAAATCTTCTCTGCTAATGATTGGCTGGCTGTTGAATCAAAAGCAAGCAAAATCTTGGGTGTAATTTTTCATTATTTCCTGAGCTCTGAGCTTAAAGTCTGAAAACTTTAGGCTCTGCGAATTATCCTTGAATATAATAAAGTCCAGGAATTCCTTAACTCCTACATCAGAGATTCTGAGAACTGATCTAAACTGAAGTATTGCTGAAGAAATCTCAGAAATAGGCTTAGCAGGAGGAGGAAGAGTCATCGCTTTACTCTGGTCAGTTAATTCCTCTTCAGATTTATTCTTATAAATAGATTGATAAGATTGCCCATGTGGATAACTAGAACCTGTATCAATAATCTTTTTCTGATTCTTTACTGGAGAGGCAGGGGTGCAGGAGTGATTCTCCCTCTGGCTGTAGTTTGAATCTCTTCTGGCAATATTGATTTCCGACACAGATCTATCTAAATCATCATTCATTTTAAACTGTTCTAATTCTGTGATCTTATTCTCAAGTTCTCTCACTTTGTTCTGCAAGTTAGCTAGATTAGACTTTAATTTCTCATTTGACCTATTTTGAATCTTGCAAGTCTGACTGAAGTTTATGAAGCTCTGCTTTAGAATTCTCAGTGGCGGTCTTAAGTTCTTTATTTGAGCTTTAAAATCGCTTTATCCTTATCTCTGACTAATTTCTTTACTTTGTTAAGATTGGTAATAGTATTTTCCTGCTTTTCAATGTTGAGATTGAGCTCATAGATGTTATTTTGTCAGAATATCAACTTCATTTTCCTTCCTTTGGAATGCATCAACTAGCTGGCAGTTTTCTTTTTCAATTTGTTGGAACTATAATTTTTGTATAAAACTTACATTTTCTTCTCTCTTTAAAGATTGTTTTAGGAGTCCTCTTAATCTAGTTCATTCTTCAGTCAGGATATCGACTGTTGTTATAAGCTCGTTTATGTTTGTCTTTTTCATATCTTTCTTACTTGCCTCAACCTCATTCCTTAATTTGCAAATGATCTCGTCTCTTTCCCTAACCTTGCTTTTCAAAGTGTTAACTAAGGAGGATTTCATGATCATTGAGGCCTTTTTAGGTTTGATAGATATATTCTTCGACATCATAGTTTGTTCTACTAACTTATTTCTTTTCCCTATTTCTTTATCCAAGAACAACACTCGAGTTTTCAACTTAACGTTCTCGTCTTTTAGGTGATGATTATCTTGCTTGAGACTCTGCTTCTCTTCAAGTAGCAGAGCATTACGACTATTTCTTTTCCTTGAGCCAGATAGTCTCCTTTTTCTAAAGGCTAGGCTTCTCTGGATAGCAGAACGAATTCCTCGATTTTTAAAGCTTATTTTGGTCAAAGACTGAGTTTTAAAATTTTGGCCAGTGGTATTCTGAAAACTTCTCCTTTGGTCATCAAATCCGCCATGGAAGTTTTGCTGAGTTGATATCATTTTTCTTGTACTGATATCCAATGGTGGCTTAGAAAGTGCTAAATTGTAAATTAACTCTTATAGGCTACTTTAATAAATGAATATTGCAAACTTACGGCTTTGCTTGCCATCACAACTAGCATTAAAGTGTTTCTTCTCATTGAAATTAGAAAGCTCTGGGACCTCATCATCAATCTCGAAGTCGATGTTATAATCTTGGTCGTCATCTTCCTCCAAATACATTTGAAATATTATTTATAGAACTGGGGTTTTGGGGTTTTGGGGTTTTGGGGTTTTGGGG